ATCACTTGCCAAGATCTCAGAACGGTTTATTATTTTAATTTTCACATAATTACGAGGAAAAATATGTTTTGCTTCGGTCTCTTTGGTGAGGAGATATGGCACTTTGCCATATTACAAGGAGGAAAATTCTCTGTAGTGCCAACGCCTAGTAAACTGCATCCTGAGTCTCAGTGCCTCAATGCTGAACAAGTCAGCTGAGAAATCAATAGGTGACTTGCTTTAAAACCTTCCTGTTTCTTCACATCAGAACACGCTGTTATTTGCAAAAGAGCAGTGGGAAAAGTAGGCAAAACTTTCAGAGAGGAAGAACAGAGGAGGAACATGACATTTTGCCAATTTGCAAATAAATGGAAGCTGATTCATCCTGTCCGGTAGGTTTTCATATCAGCACTCAGTTAATGGTATTGCCCTGAAATATGTTGGTTCAGCTGTCTAGTCACAGAAGCTTAGCACTGTATAGTCTAGCGCATAGCCCAGGAGAGGAAAAAATCAAATCAAATAAAAACCCACCGTAGTGCTTACCTGTAACTTGTCCCCTGCATTCAGATGCTTACCCTCCATAATCACACAGGCCAGAAAAGATTGCTAATAGATTCCAATACTGAGTGTTTCAAGGGATTGACATGGGCATTTCCTGAGTTAAATGTTTTTGCCCCCATGGCATTAAAAAATCCAGCAAAATATACAGAATACTCCAACTTCAGAGGAAAACGGTAATCTGCTGGGATAACTTCCTGTAGCGTTAGAATGTAAACTGAACTGTATTCCAGCTTCAGCACTAAGTCTCAGGTGGTGTCATAAGGAGATAAAAGATAACAGAAGAAAATGAAACTACAAAAATGCACAATTACACTCCTACTTTGGAATCCTCAAGTAGCTAAATGAGATCTACTTGTCTTTAATTGTGAAAATAAAAACACGTTGAAAATCCAAGGATACGGAAGTGTAACACCTAAAAGGCTTGTGTCTTTATTTACCTACAGAACAGATGGAAGCTCCAAAGCAGAACACGTGAGAAGTCCGCATCTTTGTTTACCTACAGAACAGAAAGACCAAAGACATGAGGCCTACAAAGACAGTGATGGGTCTAGAGGGGAAGATGTACAAGGAGTGGCTGAGGTCCCTTGGTTTGTTCAGCCCAGAGCAGAGCAGGCTGAGGGGAGGCCTCATGGTGGCCTGCAGCTCCCTCATGAGGGGAATGGAGGGGCAGGCGCTGAGCTCTGCTCTCTGGGGCCTGGTGTGGAACACACTCCCACAGAAGACATCTGGTGCACTTCCATCTGCTCTCGACTGTCTCAGCTGAAGTATTAGCAGCATTCAGGAAGCCTCATAAACTCAATGGGCAGGTTATAAAATAAAAGGGACGTGAGTACTAAGCAGACAGCTTCTCAGAGTAGACTGCTGACAGCTGCTTAAAAGGAATCTGAATAAAGAACACGCTTACAGAGCTGTACCAGACTCTTTATTCAAAAGAAGAAATATCCTTCTCGAGGTGCTTACCAGTTCTGGGCTTCTACAGTCAACAGCACCCAGTGTCTTTCTCCTGCTGCTATGTGGATCAGACAAAAATATACATATAAAAACTCAGTAAAATGGATGAACAAGCCAAATAGTTTATTGAACTTCCTAAATATTAAATTAAGTCAGAAAAGGGAAATAAGGTTTCTTTACCTCGTTTTTAAGTAGTCTTAGTTTTTACTGACAATACAGTTAATAATCATTGCAGTTCTTACAGGAACTTGATTTCAAGCCATCAATTTTTGTATTGAAACATTTAGTACTAAAAAATGATTAACCAGCACCAGCAGTTATCTGCTAATTCTATTGAGCATTTCCTCTACGAAAACTTTTCAAATAGGTACAGCTGTTTAAATGGATGTACTTCAGGAAGCACCTAAATACAGTTTTTCTGTTACATAAAATGTGATTTTAACTCTGTAAACACAGAACTACAATCCATATATTTTCAATTATGCCATTTGTTTTTAAAAATCCTATAAGCAGAACAACGTTAGAAGAGGCATAGTGAATTATATTAAAATGTACTAAATGACTGCATTATACTGAGTGCTTTTTAAAAGTTTTGTTTTTTTTTTAATTATTATTTTGTTCTGTAACACGCACTAGTAGCTGGTATAACGCAAAGGCAGCTGTCTTTTGTATTTCACAAATCTCTCAGCAGTTACAGGACAAGACTTTGTTCTATTTAAATCTGCAGGATGCAGCAAAAAGGGCTTTCAGATACAAGCAAATCAGAAGTTCTCCATGAGGCCCTGGTGCTTTAGCAAGGGGCTCCCACCATATCCCGAGAATTAGCTGTACCATGGTTTTGCTAGAAATCTAAATACCTGCCCTACACATCCCTAAAAACATCAGACACACTAACTGATAATACTGTAGTACCACATTACTTGGAAAGCAATGCCCAAAATTGCTGCCTGCTCATCTACAGCCTAGGATGGTCTAGAAAAGATATGATCAAAGCTGTGATTTTAAATAGTAATTTGTATTTCTTGAAGGACTGAGAGTTTTATTCTTTTCACTTTGAAGCGTTTGTGTACAGACAAGAACATGAATGGCTGGAAATCATGTTTTCTCTTAATGATACTGGACTGTAGCGATAACATTTGTAGATCTTTACGAAGATCGGTTTGTCATCCATTCAATATTGAAAAGTGTATGAAAAAATGTTGGAGAAAACCTAGGTCTTCATTTTCACATACCTGTTCCTCTCCCTAGTATTCAGTCCAGCATAGTCTCATCCCTTACTTTTTCTCCTAATTTTCTTCCTTCTTTTAACTATCTTTGTAAATCCTATAATCTGGAGAATGAGAATTGAAAACGGTCAGTCTTTTTTAAAATGTTACTGCTTTATAGAAAGCCAGAGTGCCACTACAACAGGGTTTTGTAAGTGATATTTTATTACAAACTATAATGAAAAGAAGCAGTTAAATGGGTAGAAGGAGTGATTCAGTTGGGAACAATTAGCATTTTCTAAATAATTGCTTCACAGAGAAATATGAGAGTTATTTCTAGACAGTCTCAACTTGCAAAGCCTCAGTGGTTTTATTGTCCCCACCCATTAAATATATTTGGTAGCTGGCTGTAACTACACTTACACTGTTGCAATCAAAATTTTAAACTCTCTAAAATGCATCATTGTTATAACGAGCCTTCAGGCAAATGCAGAGATTAACATTTCTAAGGGAGAGAGAAAAAAAGATTTCATTCCACAGGCTCTTGCTCTACCAAACCTGATTTCCAGAGATAAATACTAATGGAGCTTGTGTCAAGATGCCAATTATCAAGCTGGACTTTTCTCAAATATAATCTTGTGCAAGAGAAAGAAAAAAAAATAAAAAAAATAAACTGTTTTTCTTTAAAATAATGCTTAGGGATTTTAGAAGATACCTTGGTACAAAGAAGAGTTGATACCGCTTTGTTGCATGAGATTGTGCAATAGGTTGTTGAATGTGCCTGTAATATCTAAATATCTTCAGGTTATTTCATTAAAGGAAACCGATAAAATTGTTCGAGTTCCCATCATAAGAGACTAAGCAGAGATTAACTTTTCATTTTTGCTGTCACTACATTATAAATGTGGCCTTTTACTATTTCAGAAAGCATGAACATTTTTGAATCATAACATGAAGTTAACAATGAGCAGATCAATTACAGAACCTCTTCATCTTCAACCTGTTCATCTTCTGTTTACTGGGAAAAAAGGCACGTAATTAGCTCCAATATATGTACTTTTTCATTACTTCCATTTTAATTCCAGTTCTCAAAACAGATTGATACTCATATTAGTAAAAGATGAAAGCTGTAACTATAGGTTACAATCTGTAATAGAGCTTTATCTTGTAACAAATACCTAAAAGTCAAAGATGTTAAAGACTTCTAAGAAGGAAACTTTTAATTCAAGGATTCTGTCTTACCAAACTATTACCAACCTAACTACCAACTATTACCAAAGTTTACCGTTTAATCACTCAGTGATTAATGTTAAAGAAATGTTTCTGAAGAAAGTCTAAAATAAAATGGAAAAAGCAAGAGAATCTCACTTTTCCTGTGCCATCAGCAACATCAACTACAATTCAGTTACAAGTCACTAACCATGTTTTGTACAAAGGGGGCTGAACTAGCAGAAAATGCAGTCAGTCATTTCTAGCACTCAGCAGTAATTCTTCAATGTATCAAGGTACTTGCAGGATTATGCTGTGCAGAGACAACATCAATGCCCACCAACGTAGCCACTCAGAAACACCGCTGATTTTCATCTTCAGCAAAATTTTCTTCTACGAAGGAAAAAAATACTTACAGAATTCCTTTGATACTTAACCCTCAATTCTGCTCCAAGAACTTTTCCAATTAAACTTCTACTGCTTGTGAAAAGAAGGACTGGAGTTTTTGTTTTTCTCAAGGCAAACACCCTCATAAGACTATAAAATGAGTTGTGTTTAAAAGTGTTAAGATTTAAGTCTTCTCTGAAAGCAGCAACTTTTGCTTAAAAAAAAAAAAAAAGGCCTAGAAGACTTGACATTGCCTAAAAAAATTAAGTGCTATACTTTTACGTGGTATAAGACTCTACCCATTTCCTAACTGTGCCTGCTGATTAATGTTATTTCAAATTTCTAGTGAATCTAGAAACTTTCAGTCAATTATGCTTACATAGAAAACCCTGTTGAGATATTTCCAAGAGACTATGCATACCTTCCCGCTCTAGTAATGCTAAGTAAAATGTAAGCATCAGTTTCCATATTTCAAAGGCTGTCAGCTGCTAGAGTGGAAGCTCTCAACTTCAAATGTGTCAGTGCAGGTGAAAAAAACACTAGACCTCCATACAGAACTGTCACTATTTCAGACTACTATGTGTACACAAGAATATCCCTCTTGTCAATTCCTGCCCAAATGCTTTCCATATCTGGTGACAAATCCAGTTAGAATTTTATTCAGACAACGTTAATTCTCCTGTGAACACAATAAATACTCAGCCTGGATTAAAAAGAATTTTGTTTTATTTGGACAAAGGCACACAGTCTTTATCGTTAGATTAAACGTGTTTCTTTTACCTGCAATAGTGAATCTCAACATCAAATTTAATCTGATACCACAGATAATACTACAACTAGGCAGCGTTCAAAACTAAAATGGGTATTTAGTTATTTGTAGTTTAATGATGCTTCATATTTTTTAATGCATAAAACTGATATTTAAAAAAATGACTCCTCATGAGATTATTTTCAGAGGTAAACTCAACTATCACAACTTTTGCAAAACAGAAAAACCACAACTAGCTGTAACCTTGAACAAGAACAGTTACACCAGAAATCTGGAAACAAAAACAAAAGGATAAAATTAAAAATGTAATGTACATCTGCCGCAGTACAAGCAGGAATGGAGATTTACTATAGTAAGTCACCAGACCTGTAATACCATGAATGGTACATAAAACACATATCTATGTCCTGGACATATTTAAGTAGTCCTAAAGAAATGCTTAATAACAGGAGTAGAAATGTTCCTTACACAGGTATTGACACTGGAATGACTTTCTGAAATGAACTTTTAGTAGAGATCATCCATATCAAATTAAGTGACAAGATCCAGATTCATTTTTTTTAACAGAACTTTTAAATATAATCCTTTGCTCCTCAGTCTCAGCAGATACAGGTTCCAGCACAAATTTATTTTATTGTACATATTTAAGTTACCGCTTGCAATGGAAGTTTCTCCAATGAAAATGGTTGTGTGTTGCTAAAAGTGTCAGATGTTTATGGTCATTAATACTGATGAAAATGGACCGAATTCAACTGACATCTTCAAAAAGGGTTTGAACTTAATAAATACTGACAAGCCATAGATTGATAGTACCTTTAGTGTGTTTGTTTCCCAATAATTACCTTTCCTGTTGGCTACTAACACTGATTTGTTTCAATTCAAGCTGGAAATAGAAAACAAGTGCAGAAAACTATGGAATAGCTGGAATCAATGTTCCTCTGCCTTCCTAGGAAAGAGTTAAAAAGTAATTTGATCTCCAGTATTCCTTCTGGTCCTATGGTAGAAAGTTTCCAAGTTGTAATAATACCAGGTAAATTTTAAAAAGTTTTGATGCAGATTAATCCGTTGCTTCCCATATATAGAAACCCCTGTATCTCTTGTAATGCTTGTGTCAATTGCAAGTCTTTCACAGCTAACTCTCAGTACAACTGAACAAAAATCATTAGGTTATACTTCCTAGTTTGGAATTAATTCATTTACTTCTTTTTACTCTCTTTCCTCACTCTACCTCTGAAATTCAGAGACAAGAGAAATAGCAGAAAAATAATTAATATCTAAATGTGTCAAAATAAATGGTAATTTATATTATTTAAAAAGTCTGCTAATTAATGAAGAAATGTTTTTCTTTAAAGATAGAAGAAAACACTCCTTTGCAAATACAGGCTTTTGGTTAATATATATGTATAGTAACAATGCATTTACACATGGCCACTTAATTATTTTGAAATGAAAAATACTTAGTTTTGAATTTCCTTGTAAAAATCAGCAACATTTATATATGGCAAATCTTCTAATTTAGAGAATAAATCCCACAAACATTAGTGCATGTAATCAACAATAGAAATATTTCTGCACAATTTTAACCTTCAGCTCTGGATGCACCTCTTTTCTATACGATATGGAACCACAACAGGAGCATCATTTTGCAGTCTTAAAGCGAGTATTATGTGCTGTTCATTAACTAAGTGTTTTCTCTTGTTTCTTTTAGTCAACTGGGGTACTTCTCTGTTTAGATATCCTTAGATGACTCAAGTTACACAGAAACACAGATGCTAGATCTAGGCAGTTGGGTACAAATTTAAAGATAGGAAAGTTCAGAAATCTTCATGAGTCAACTAATATTGCATAATAATGCCCTCTTTCAAAAAAAGCTCTAATTTAGCCTAGGTATGTTACTATACAGATTCATCCAGGAATCATACACGAAGCATACAGCTTTACCAAGTGAGGTGGGTTTCCATTTGCAGCAGTGTATTTATTTGATTTCAAAACGGACAATTGAAAACAACTGAGGTGTTGGATGGGAGAGCACATTGGCTCAAGTTAGTAAATTGCTGGCTAGGTAGATAATTTAACACCACATCAACTAGAATAAAAACTTATTCCATAGTTGAGCTTGATTATAAGGACATCCCATTGAAATCAAATTTTAATGGCAAGACTAGATGATTATTAACATTTTATGTCATACACCATTATTCCTAGAGTCCAGTAAACTTCTCCCGAGAAACTGATAACATAAGCAGTAATGAATTATTATTGAAATATTTCTTTACAAAAAAACATCTAAATCTTCAAAAATGTCAGAAAAAATGTGATGCTTAAAGATACAATTTGTAGGTATTTTTAGGACTATGAAACATTTTGTATTTCTATACAGAACATCTGTATACAAAACAAACAATAATGTCTAGGTACTTCTTGTGTGAGTTCCCAACAGTTCCGCTCTTCACACTTTCTGCCTGAAGGATTACAGCTTTCAAATATTTGGAAACTTCCTTTTGCCAGTACCTCCTCAAGGTAAGATATAATAAGCGCTTCTGCCAAATATTCCCATCAACTGGGTATCCATGTTAAAAAAATGAAATTCTAATTTTGGGGCTTCTGCTGCTAAACTTTACTCAATACACATGCAAACCAAGAAGAGGTAAATACGATGACAAGCAATTCTTGTTTATATACTTTGCTGTCATTGTTCTTTGGTTTAAAATGTATATGAAGTACAGACTGTGAAATACCTCATTTACAACTTTGTATTAGTATTCGTGTTTCTGCATTAAGTCCTTAAAGATGTTTCAGTATGTTTCACATCCCATGCTTAAGTCTGTATGTATATTTCCTACACAGCATACACAGAAGGAAATCAGATGTTGTTCCACATAAACTTTTGTATTTATTCAGAAGGCGTACATCTCAAATTATTCTTTTTTTTTTATGACTTTCAATTTTTAACTTTATGGAAGTGATAAATGAAGGGACTTCTTACTGTTTGACTAATGTTAAGACAAATATTCACTGGTGAATACCATAGTTTAGAGGGCCAATACAAACCCCACATACCACTTAAAACCCTAAGATAAGGTTTTAAACAGTGTCCTATGGGATATCTTTTCCATTACAAAGGAAAACTCCAAGGCATCTTGGCATATCTTGAAAAATACTTCTTGAAAAATACTTTAAAGCTCTGAAAAAATCCTCATTAGAATACACATATGTAAAATAACATATCCTATATTTATAATAATCCAAGGTATAACAATAATTCCTGAATTTGAAGTTTAAGAATCTCTTACAGTCATTAAATACGTGTTATGGAAACAATTGGCAAATCTGAAAAGATGATTGCTACTACATATTGAAGTTGCCTTTAAGTTTTAAGGTAACACAAATTATATGTATACAATGTTCTGACAATGAATTTCAAAATCATCAAAAAAAAAAAAAGCCTGGACATGTTTTCAAGTCTCTTCACTCAAGTGACCTATACATCTTTTTTTGATTGAAATGAATGAAATATATGTTGTATTAATATGAAATAAAGTACATTGAATTTCTGCCTAATAAGAATTTTAGGAATGGAATTGTCAATTAAGGCTGTGGTTTATGTAAAATGAGAATTTTGTCTACTGTCACGTTATAGAAGTATCAGTATGCACTCGTAAGTGGACTGTAACATCTAAGCAGGCACTTCCTAAACACTTTGTTAGTTTAAAATCAAGGATAAAAGTGTTTTTTTTAGCATTTGATGTTTCAAAAATTCATGAATCTCTTTTCTTCCTCTCTACTTTGCTATATACAAAATTTTTGACCCAGCTTAAAAAATGAAACATCAAAAAACTCACATTGGTTATGATCATCTTAAGACAACACCTTTAAATAAAAGTGTATTGCAAAAATGTATTTGCAAAAATGAAAGCTCCAGGCTCTGTATTCTCAACACAGCAAACAAAACTGTTTGATAGTAAAATTGCATTTCATTGCTAAAGCAAAAGCTTTAAAATAAACTGCAGTGCACAACTTCAATGTGATTCTAAGAATTCATTAATGCTGATACCACAGGTGATTTATTTTTTTTTAATAAAACCTCCCCCTCCTGCCACAATACTGCTATACAAAAAAAAAATGCTGCTACTCTACTCTGTCAGTCTTTGAGATAAAGTAAAAAAAAAAAAAATAAACAACAAAAGTCAACATACAGGAGTTTTTAGAGCAAGAAATCAATCTGCAAAATGTTATACAACAGTTAAAAGGCATCCACTTTACAGAAGTTGAAACAAAAAAGTAAATATTTCACAAAATATATATTTTGGATCTGTGTAAACAAAGCTCATATGTATGTATTGCTTCCATTCATTTCAAAAATATACATCCACATGGACTGAAAGTGATCTTGGTGCTCTGAATTTTAAATTATTGTAATATATGCAGATGTAATCTGAAAGTACAAAACCTTATTTTTTTGAATTTAGTATTTTGAAATATGTCAAAACTTTTTCTTATGAGAAATGAAAATGAAAATACACCCCAATTTTGATGCCATTTCATTGAATGAAGAAGGAAGTACTATGAAAATAAACATTCATCTGGTTTCCTAACAATAAATATAAAGACAGTTATTATAACATAATGCAACACAGGAAGTATTACTATATTGACCTTAATGTTCAATCAGTAGTTTTTAAATCTTTCCTCATTGAGGCTTGAATCTTCTACCTTGTCAGCTGTCCAACAACTTTTAAGAGGGTTTTATTTTCTTGCTTCAATTGTTCATTTTCATCTTCTATATCATCTAGGTCCTGTGAAAGGAGAAAGAAAAATACACATTTCTCAGGACATAAAATACAAACTCTCGATTAGTAGCAGCAGGAATTTACCTCTGAAATCAAGAAATTAGGGTTGGGAAGAATTTGTGTCACAGCATCCCTAAATCTGCTAAATCTGGCATTTTTCCAAGTGTTATCAGAAGTAAAAAACATTAGTATTATATTCCCACATAGAAGAACCTTGAAGTGGAAACATATATAAGCAAAACTGAAGCTGCAGTAGGAATTAAACAAGAAATCAAAACTGGATAGGTGTGATTACTTTACTAGCATGGCGTTTATTTGGCTACTGTCTCTGCTCCCTGGACTGCACTTATCTGCAACTATCCCACTTGTGTTGATGAACACATCACTGGTTATTACTGCAATAAAGTCTGCTTCGTATTTTAAATTAAGTATAAAATTTTTCAGGAAAAGAACTACATGCCCATCTTTTTCATTTTCTCTGAAAAAGAGTAAAAGGCATATTGTAAATTTTATCTAAACTGCTACTGAAAGAACAGACAAATACTAAAAAATTGTGTTTAAAATAGAATGATCCTACCTCAAATGTCTGTCTCTCTTCCACTAACTACTGTATCTAATTAGTTCTCAATTCAGTGCTTGACTTCTTACCAAGTCTTTCCAAGATTTTAAACTGAATAGTTATGAAATTGGCAGTTGCTGTAAACATTAGTTCAGTAAAAATAATTTTACTGTACAAACAACATGGAAGAAACAGAATGAGAACAAAAAAATGAGGAAATAGGAATGTGACCTCAGGGACAGCACTCTGAAGAGGAAAATGAAAGGCAGGCCAAAGAAGGAAGAACCAGGAGTCTGATCAGAGATTTTAGATGCCTTTTGATCTGTCTGCAAATTCCTACTGTTGTCATGCTTGATTAAATATAAAACAGTAATAGTGAAAAGATTTTTCTCTCTTGTTCCTTGAAGTTGTTAAGCACTGTTTGACATAAGGGGCCTATTTTCTTGTTTCTTTTCAGTGGGGTCATTCCAGAAGTGCATTCTAGAGACTGTGTGTTAATGGGCACTCTGATTTTTAAAAGCCTCTTCGGTTTGCCAAACCAAATCCATACTGCTATACCTATGCCTTTGCAAGTCATGTACTGTTTTTGTAATGTGGAATCAAGAAATCACTAGCAGAAATTGCTTTTGACCTAACAGAGGTAATACTGTGTCACAGAAGAAATGACTTCCAGGAAAAGCACTTGATCGCTCTGAAAGTAACAGATACAAGTGACTTAAAAATCTAAATATGTAAAAGTTTTGATGAACAGCTATGCAATTTTAAAAAACACACCACTTTATCTCTTTAGCAGATCAATAATCAGATGGAAAACAAAATACTTTTTCAATAAATTGATTTTTTTTTAGTTCGGCATATGTAATAGTGTATTTGATCTAGCTGTTAACAGAGACATTAGATAGCTCAATTAAAACTTACCTAAAAGCCTTCTATATAAAAATACCTGTTATTTACTCAAAATAAAATGTAAATAGTTTGTGCAAGTTCATGCTGACAAAATAACATTCCAAAGAAGTTCTTGAATATGATCCAAGAAAAATAACTAATTCAGTTTAAATATCTAGGGAAATAATGGACTGAGAGATGCAGATGGTTTTTTTGCCGCTCTGGAATTTAAAGCTTCTTATCAAAATTAAAAACTGCAATGCTAACTTACTCTTATTAGTAAATAAAATACAATAGCTGGGAAGTTTGGACTTCCAAATGAACCAATAGCTACACCATTGACACAAAGTAGATTGTGAATTCTCAGTCCAAACGTGCATTTAACTATAGGGACAGTAAGATCAGAAATGATTGAGTACAAACTAGTTGATAGTTGAACATAGCCTACAAATATCTTGAGATGCCTTTCCTTTATTTGAGGCTTGTATTAAGCAATTGCCTTTATCTTATTAAAAAAAAAAAAAGCATCAGACATACTTTTAGAGGCTAATCTACTGGAATGAAAAAATGCCATTTATGACAAAAGGCTTTTTCTGGTTCTCAATATAAATGCAGCTAATGTTCTTTAAGTATCTTTGCACTGACTGTACTCAGTAAAATCTTATTTTTACATTAAATAAATATCTTTACTTAAAATAAGAAAAAGTCTGCAAACAAGTTTTCAGGATTCTTGGAAAAACAGCTTTTCAAGTATAACACACAATCTCTGGCAATGAAGGATGTATCTGTGGTCATGAACTGACCAAAACTTCTAGAAAGAGCTCTTCTCTAAATATGAGGGCTGAGCAGTCACAAAGCTATGCAATAAAATGGCATTTAGGCTCTCTGACTTGAAATTCTTTCCAAGTCTGTACAACCTAACATGCAATGAGAGCATTTTTTGATGAATGGAGAAATATCATGAATGCATAGATGGTCGAATTTCAAGACCCCTATTCAGGTTCCCTATTAGCAAAACTTTAAAAAGATCTCTGCGTAAGCTCACTAGGTCATCAGGACGTCATCAGCTTATCCAAACAGAAGGCTGAAGATCACAACTGTTCCTCCATGTAAAGCACCCGATCCTGGTGCCAGGTCTACAGAGCAATGTTCTATGAGAAGCAGATGGATGTTTAAGTGCTGGCTCTCGTGACTGCAGTTGCAAAGACAAACCTTAGGCAAATATGATCGCATATTACCTTTCATTCCTTTCCTTTATGGGAATGATGTAATACTTCTGTAGCTCTTCTTAGCATTCTAGAGCTTTCCTCTTTCTAAATCCACATGGATAGCCAATACAAAAACAGTCATAAATCCAACAACTATTTAAAAAGAACATAAAACTACCTGTTTTAATGTAAGTATCTCTTGAGACATGCTGGCTTCAAATTGTGGCAAGATAAATTAGTAAAGTGGCCAGAAATTCAAAAGCCAGCTATTTCATTAAGAAAAGTCTGTGGAATTCAAACATAACTACTTGCTCTGCAGTAAAGCTAACAGATAATGTTATAGATACGATAAATGCTGACTTGTTGGATAACAAAAATAAGAAAGCATTCTCTTCTCCATTTAACAGAGGCTACCTAGGGACCACCACATGTATCTCACTGAATGGTACGACTTTAGTCGTTTTGTAGTGAAGAGATTTTTGGAAGGACTACATTTTATGTTTTCTTTCCACACAACAAGCAGAAATTGCCATCGTACTTCAATGCATGTAATGCCCAGGGTCTGCTTGACTTTACATGTTATAAGATACTCGATATCAAGTCAGATACCCAATGGATTTAATTTAGGACATAATCCTTCAAATACAGCAGAAAAAATGAACATTGTTTCTGGAACTCCTCTGGAAAAGCAAACCTTAGAAACTATCATGGTCCTAAAACACAGGCTGTGAGTGAATTGGGTTGTGTTGTTTTTTATGTGTTGGTTTTTTTTGTTTGTTTGTTTGTTTTTCTGACTTCTGAGACAGGAAATCAGATGTGACCAGCATTTTACGTAGCTTTGCTGCCCACTATGTAGGAGTGAACAGTTTCATTGACTAATACTCAGGTCATCAGCTCAGATGTGAGAGATGCCTTGCTGAATATAAAAGTGGCATAAAGATCAATTCCCCATTAAAGTAGAAATCTCTCCAAAACACAGACCATATTTTACTTACCCTATAATTTCCAACTTTCTTTATAAAAAGAAATGACATGTTTCAGAATATTCTCAGCTCCTTCAGTACTGTAGATTAGTTTGAGAATTTCTGAGTATGTTGTCCTCCACTGTTGCAAATGAAAGTTTAGCACTATGCACATAAAGTTCTAGTTTCCCTTCACTGTTGGATCAACCAAGTCCAGTTTTGAAATTTTTTGTCAAATTTTTATAGGAAAGCCTGCATTGGACCAATAGAAGTGTATTTCCCTAGCGCATCCTGGCTCTGCACATCAGTCAAGAGTCAAGTCCCACTAGAGATTAATGATGTTAATGATGATGAACAGAAGCCACCTGGGAAACAGAACTTATTTACATGCCTGTAGAAAAGTTACATAAATACAAACAAACAAAAACTCCCAATAACACTTAATTCTATTCAGACCTTGCCCAGTGGATATAAGTGCCTGAAACAAAGCACTGAGAATGTAGAGGCTTTTTTCCCCTATTTATATAGCACCATATAAGAAAACGTGCTTACTCTGTTTAATAAATCAATTTCTTCCTTCAGTTTCCCAATTATTTCCTCTTTGTCCTGTGTCATCTTCATTAATCTCAGATTTTCCTGTCTCTCCTTTGCAAGTTCCTAAAAACAGAATATGCACTGGTGTCAAATGTAATTGTGCATTTTAAAGACAGTTTTAAGTTACTAACATTAAAATTAATCAAAGCAACCCTCCACACACACACCACAAGAACTTACCTGTAATTTCTTTTCTATGAGCCAAACCCATATGTCTTCAAGCCTTTATATTTCAACGAGCTAATGAATCACATCTAATAAGGAATTTTACCCACATCAAACCTGTGTGCTATCTCTGGTCCCAGAGATGTTTACTTAATATCTACCTTAAGCATGAATGAGCCCAGAACTGGATAGGGGGCCCAAAAGACAAACAAGTAAATGTAAAGTCTCTGATTCCAAATTTTTATAGTTTTTTTCCTTTTCTTTTTGTTTCACATTTCAGTTAACAAAGGAAACAAAGACTCATGATATCTGTGGGCTCAAATGCAAGAGAAAATTAAAACGTCCATTCAGTAAATCAGTGTTCAGTATAGCAAAAATAAGGCCTTAAATCTCCTAATTTCTGTGTTATTGGTAGTTCAGTTATTTGTTATTACTTATTTCAGAAGAAAGTTGATTTGGAGGATTATAACACATTTCATTCAAATCTGGCTTAAGTCTTAAAAAAAAAAAAACATCATTTCTACAGAACACGCCCTATTTTCTCCTTAAAAAAAAAAAAAAGTCTATTCAAATTGCATTTACTTAGTAACTTTCATCCATATGAATTCAAGAAAATTTGGCAAGCTACCCACAAAAATACACTTCAGAGGAAGAAACAGAAGCCCGTATTACACACGACATATTTAGCCAAAATAATGTTTTAAGTGAAAAATACAGCTTTAACACTATTACACTTTCCCAAATATGTTTGCATGAAAAACATCTGAAATAATGAAAACATTATTTTAAATATATTTTAGATGCTTAAAACTTCAGTGAACAACTAGATAACAATGACATTTCATAACACTTAGAACATAAAAAAAAATCAAACTAGAAGTAGATTAGAAACAGACTTGGTTATTTTCTGAACAGCCAGTGAGCCCCTCCTCCCCATAAGTTATCTGCCCTGTGTTGGTGCGTCACAAGGTACATATGACAAATACACAGGGAACAGCTGGCTCTCTGAGTGTATTATATTTACCTTATTATTTCGCACTTCTACACCAAATGAAAACTAAACATTTATAATGATTAGAAAGTTCACATTCTTTCAGTCTGCTTGTTTCATCATACATGTTTATAGACATAAGTATCTGCACTTCAAGCACTGAGCATCATTTCTATGTATTTTTACTTGTAATATCCCCACGGAGTTTCAAAGATACTTTATTTCAGATTTATACCATGCAGATGTTAGTTAGTACTCACCCTTTCAAGTTCCTCAATTCTCTTTTCCAAAGCAGTACTTGGTACGGAGCTCCCAGAAGAGTTTGTATCCCTGCTGTATCTGCTATAAGTTGTCCTCTCTGTTCGGGAATATCTATTGAGAGCATCGTCTTCCGGAGCATTAGCTGTGCTACAAAGGCATAGAACAAAGCAGACACCTATTTAGAGATTTAACAAAATGGAAAAGGAAGAAGTAACAATAGAGTGTTTTCCAAAGCACTCAAGAGGTTAGTCTAATAAACTGCAAAGCAGATATTTCACAGCTTTGTGTTTTTGAGAACTTACTGAATTCACTGCCTCAAGATACAACCTGCACCAAGAATCTAGAGTGTATTTCCTTATGATAAAATGTTGTAATTCACAACTTACCTAGATTAGTATTTTACAGTAGCCTGCCTGTTTTGATCCCTATGGAATCTCTTCTTTTCTGGCCAGGGTTATTTAAGCAGCAGACATGAATTCACTATAGATAAGTTTTTTATCTTCTCTACTGCTGTATCCCTATGAAATGTATCCCATTTTGTTTGCCTGAAAGTTACCTAAATTCAGTAAAAAATTCAGGACACATACAGCCTGTCTGACGTCACAAAGCAAAATGTTTGGAAATTTCTCATCATTACAGCAAATAGTTGATTTGTATGTGCTTTTTTGTCTTGTTTTCAAGTCTTCAGAAAAAGGTACTAACCTGCTTTTTTTTTGAAAGGTGATTATGAAATTTTCATTAAGTCTTTGAAAAAGGAAAATCTCAATCCCTGCTTTCTCACAGAATTTTGAAGACGCTACCTGAAGGTCACCTTGAAACAGTTGTATCTCTGTATTGTGAGGAATTGACCTAGAATATAAAACTGGCCAACAGAACTTGAGCAAAGCTGGGTGTGGTGGGCTGAGCCCGACCAGCAGCCAAGCAAGCACTCACACAGTTGCTTGCTCGCTCCCTCTTCTCTTCCCCACAGCAGCACTGGGGAGAGAATGGAAAGGACAAAATAGAGAAAACTCACGGGGAGAGATGAAGTCTTTTAGACTGGTCTCTGAGCAATAGCTACTCTGGAAGTTACTCTACAACCCCCCACACACTTCTTTGTCTGCTACCCCAGTTTTACTGCTGAGCAGGGCGTTATATGGTATGGGACATCCCTTTGGCCAGCCCAGGGAAGCTGTCCCAGTTATGTCCACTCCCAATATCTTGCTCACTGCAGAGGAGCTGAAGGTAGAGGTGAAAAGGCTTTGACATTGTGCAATTCCTGTTCAGCAACAGCCAAACCACTAGTGAGTTGTCAACACTGGAACAGGTTGCCCAAAACCCCATCTAACCCGACTTTGAACACTTCCAGGGATGGGACATCCACAGCTTCTCTGGGCAATCTGTTTCAGTGCCTTACCACGCTCATAGTAAAGAATTTTTTCCTAATATCCAATCTAAATCTCCCCTTGTTCAGTTTAAGATGATTGTCCCTTACCCTGTCAATACAGGCACTGGCAAAAAGTCCTCTTCTGTCTTTCTTATAAGCTCCCTTTATATATTGAAAGGCTGCACTAAGGTCTCCCTGGAGCCTCCTTTCCTGAACAACCCCAACCTCTCCCAACCTTGCTTCAAAGGATAAACACAACACCATGCTGACTGCTATGAAGAAAGTCAACTCCATCCCAGCCAGACAAAGCACAACAGATTACAAGCACCATGGAAAAAACAAACAAACAAACAAGCAAACAAACAAACAAAAAAACAGCATAAAATATTTGGAGAGGTACTCCTCTGATTAAATATGTATATTATACATATGTGTTACCTATTTATCACATCAGGCTGGTGATAGGGTCTTGTTTGCATTAGATCATGTAACCTTAAACACACACTGCAATGGAATCTTAACAGATAATCATTGCAAATGTGCATGAGCTAGTTTATAAAAAGTTTATGGCCTCTGTATTGTGATTATGTAAAAAACCAGTGCTCATTTAGAAATATAAATATTAGAAGTCAAGCATTTTCGAAGTCACGGATTTAATGGTGTTCTTTCCACAGTTGTAACAGTTCTTCTGCTGTAAGAGCAGCAGAACAGAAGACCTTAAAGACCAGGCAGAGAGAGATTTTGCACTTTCTGATCCACCAAAACTTTGAAAATATACATCTATATGGCCAAAATAAAACTTGTTCAGCATTAACCAGAACTTGGATAGAGATATTTGAAAGTCATCCAGATATTGTCCTGGGCTAGTGGCTCTGGGTGGCCCTGCGTGAGTAGGGGTCGGACCAGCTGGGATCCAGAGGGCCCTGCCAGCCTCAGCCCTTGTGGGATTCTGTGAAACCGCACCACTCTAACATGCATAAAAAGGCTTTTGAGAGCACTCAGGGGAAGAATAAAAAGCACCATGAGTATCCCTACAACAATTCCTTAAAATGCAGGAGAGTATGTGATTAACAATTTCATTTAACAGTTTTGCATTTCATAACTCTAGAAAACCCCTGCTGACAATGTGCAAATCTAGATGGATTCGGTGCAAATCAAAAGCAGGCATATCTGGCAAAAGAATGCCTTTTCATGGATATAAATGTTGCTTTGCTCCAGTATGTGTGAAGTTTCCAAGGCACACTGACACAATTGTAAGGAATTTTGTAGCTTAATGTTATTACCATATTTAGCACTGTTTATTCTCCATCTAGAAGATTTTTTTAAAAACATTTCTAGGGACCGGATACGCATGTTGCAACATAACATAAGAGAAATATTTTAGCTTAACTCTATAAATTCTAGATTATTTAGCTTTTTGAAAGATGTGTTGTTTCATGCTGTTCATGTCACAGGGAGAGACCAGACCAAAAAAAGACTCAGTTTTTCATCACTCAGAAGTGATCCCTTTTGCCAATAGTGGAATATCTCAACTCCAGTGAATGACCTTGGCAGATGTTCCTAAAGGAAAGTTAAAAGAAAAAATAACTAGATAGGAAGAATTTCATTAATTCTGAATCTTAAGACACTTTTCTGTATTTTCCCTGAAACTGACGCTTAAAAATTTCCCCACCTATTGTTATGGGGAGAAGACCCTACTGAACTCATTCCCTATCAGTATCATAAGTATAAAGGACACATCATGAAGATTTCTAGGAAATGGGATTTAAAAAAAATAATAAAATTAAGTCATTAGTTCTTAATACAAGGAAAGTGACAGAAACAAAATTCATTATTTCACCTGTTGTAACAAACTAGCAAAGAAATGAACCCACATTGCAGTTTCTGACTATTCTTACACAAAAAGTTTTGCATTAGAATGACACTCTAGTCACTTCCTTTAAAATAAAATAAAATAAAATAAAACCTGCTATTTGCAAAGGGTCAGCATTAATAGCAGTATTACAGGAGGGTGGAAAAAATCTTGTTCCTTTCAATGTCTCTTTCAATGTTTTCATGAGGCACTGCCCAAATGACAATTTCATTCAATTAAAGTCACCTATCGTCAAAAGCAAACGTCAATGATTTCAATTATAATGCATTTATGTTCGTTTCCAGAATCGTGTAATTATACTTGATTTGGAAACTCATAATTAATTGTGTCACCTTGAAATCCAGCCAGCTGCTAGCAGCTTCTTTAGAAGAACGAGCAGAAGGCAGTGTTTCTGAACAGCCTACTTTGGACTGGTTAAACCATACTGGAGGCTGTCGGTGCTGAGCTAAGAAAGGCAGCCCTGTCGTCCCTGCAACTCACAGCCCCTTGTCCTGGCTCTGGCTGTAAAGTGACTGAGTAGGAGAGTAGGACACCTCCGACTGCCAGCCACAGCAGCTCCCTCAGACACCACCAGGCCCAGCTGCTTTGGCACAGCCAACAATGAGGAACTGCAGCGGGCCCAACCTATGCCATAATAAGCTTCTGTAGGAATACCCTAAGCTTTTCCACCACTTTGTAACATCGACAATTAGTGGAAAAGGGGATGTGACAGTCAAGAAAAGCCCTTTGGGTGATCCCTGACTATTTAAGTGCTCATTTTGGCACAGCTGAGGTCTTGCTGTGGCAGGCGTGATGAGACAGCGCTCAGCACGCAACCCAAGCCGTCAGGGCCTCGCTGCACAACTCCCAGACCGGGGCGAGTAGGCAAGTCTGGGCACAGTGTTACGAAATGGTATTTTGCAGCTGCATCCCTTCTGAAGCAGTGAGACCAAGGTTAGTAGGTTGCATGTAAATTGGTAGACTTTAAGCTTTCTCCTTACGCTTTAAGATTTTCAGTAATCAAAAAAAAAACACCGAATGAGAGAATTTCAGCTGGGCTTTAACATCTCCTTCACAGCACTTCCAACTAGGAGCTGGTGATCTCTTACACCTCATTTACTTTTCTACTCTTGCACAAATGTGAAACCAGAGTACAACGTGGTCTTTCAGAATTAGTGGGCAGGGTCCCTACCTGCTGGGTTCAGTGTGAGCATGCAGTGCTATCCTGAAAGAGGGAAAAAGCCCTCTGCCGTTTGCCTGGAAGCCATAAAGCCACACCATATTGTATTCATTTCCACTAATAAACAAACTTATAAGGGGAACACACCCTTGAACCATTAAGAGATTTTAATCTGACTCTTTCTGTAAACTGATTCAGCCTGATCTGTCTGATCCATGAACCATGTGAAATCTTCTGAATTATTTTAAACCCCAATTTGCAAGGTTTTAGTTTTAATTTAAGGCATTTATAGAAAAGAAGCTAAATGGCTTTTTAAAATAAACCAAAATATTCCTATGCCCACATGCATATCCTGCTTTGCTGTTACTTGCAAACTTCTAGTTCACAGAATGCAAGAGAAACCTAATTCATGTTTACATGTAGATTACACTTAAGCATTTCAAGAAACAATACACTTTGTCACTGACTTGTTTGAGAAATCAGTGATGACACCAACTCTGGTAATAAATCAGACCTGACTCAGAAAACCACCCTTACCAATGGCAAGGTGCTTCTTGATTTAAAAGAACTACACACAAAGCGTGCAAAAAATGCTAGTCCCAGCTATAGTTGGAACAGCCAAGCTGCAGCACATTGTATTAAGAAAAGCTTAGGGAAAAACTAAAGATGAGAAAACAGATAGGGGCTATTGCCCCAGAAGGATACCCACATGTTTTAATCCTATGAGTTAGATGCGACAGTTAGATCCCCTAACCCTAGGAGCTGTATGATTAAGGTCCCCCGAGCCATTCTTTGTAGCTCACAGTCAGCACAGATGTCTGGTCACAACTCCCAAATAAGCTCATGAGCATATCCCTCAGCCTTCATGTAAGCATGACCCTGAAGATACCGGTCATGGTTTTAAAGCATCCTACTGTGCCACTCCAGATCACAACAGAACCATCACTTTCTTTTGAAAATGTCTTATGTGGTTAACTCATGCAACTACAAATGAACCCCAATACAAAATTCTAGGGTATAAATATGGAATTAAAAAAAAAGAATCAGAAGACAGACTACAATTGTAAGAGCCTCATTCCAAACTTTTATTTACTTTATTGTATAAGGAGACAGGCTCAGTTTGTCCAAGTCAGCCGAACAACATCGCAGCCAGCAGATTTCATTTGTAAACACATCTTCCCGTCAAAGGGCACTCAGTGAAACGGGTTTCTCAGCAATGTCATATAAATGTTTAACTATGGATTCCTGCATCCATACAAGGCAAAGTAGTCAGTATGTCTGATTAAATAGGTAGTAAAATCTGAAATTCCTGGAGCCCTGAGATATATTGCGAGAGTAGAAATTCCATCACAACACACAGCACAAACCCTTCTCTGCTCTTTATTAATCTCCCATCTTCTTGGGCCCAGGACGATGGGTGTCTCAGTGTAGACGTGAAAACAGCTATATGGGAAGGGAGAGGGAGGGCACTGGAAGCCTGGAATGGCATCAGTAACTGAGGACTGAAAGTCAGAAGATGGAGACAGAACAGAAGCAAGTAAGAGATCAGAAAAATGCCAAAGACTAGCACCTCCGTAGAGGATGAGGATGTATGAGAAAGGGGAAGAGAGAGGAAAAGGTGTCTGACTCAGCCAGGAAATGGAAACCAGGGAAGTGCAGAAAAATGTTGAGATGTCACTTTTGGTGAGGAAAGAGGTAGAAAAAAAATGAGTAGGTTAGAAGCAGTAAAAATGTGGGAAAATGACTGGAAATTTTCTGACAAATAATACATTCTTCCCATGGGGGTCTACAACAGAGCCAAAGGTTTTAGGACATAATCTTTCAATTTTTGCTGTCATTTGCTGTAAAGTCTACTAACAGCCTCTCTCTTCCCCAACCCAGAAGTACTGACTGCCTGTCATCAGAGCAGTGCAAGTAACAGCTTCAAATTGGATCTCAAACAGGTTAGCCCTAGGTTGGAATTTGCTTCTCACTTCTCCTGAAAACCTAAGGAAGTACACATAAAGCTGTTAAAAGACCATTATGTTGAATACATTTGGGCCTTAATAATAATGCTTACTGTAGAATAGGGTGTTTTCTCTAGGACCTTCCTGTATTGCAGATGAAGGTAGAGGTGAAAAAGCCAAGCTTTGTCAGAAGAGGAGAGGAGTCTGGTCTTGATTCCTTTAGGATTTACACCAGAAAGTGCAGCCACTGGGAGACATATCTTGTTCAAGTGCTCTTAACTGAAAAATTACTTGGGGGAGGGTAGAAATTTTTAAATATAGAGAAAAATCGGTAGATACTTCTATCTCCAATCACAGTAGGTATTAAGTCTCTATTTGTGAAGTACTGGCTCTTGTACACCTACCGAGGTTTTGTTAGAATAAAATCCGATTAATATTTGGGTACTGGGTAGTGTGATGACCTCACAGGAAAATAATCCTTTGTTCTCAAAATGAGGTTTGAGGACTATGCAATGAGTAAGATATATGGCAACATACATAACAAAATATTGAACTGCAGCTCACAGCAAGTCAGATTCCTCCTGAAAGTGATGCAAGTCCTGAGGGGGAAAGTTCGTGAACAAAGAACGTACATCCTTCATATAACTAAAGCTGACTGAATGAAGACCACACAAACAAGTCTTATTTTAGTATTTCCTAACTTAGGAGTTTCCAATTTTTTGCAATGTTATCAGAAGAATTAGTTTATTTTCAACTAAGTTACAAATGTGTGTGATTACTCAAACTTCTCTTTATTACCACCCCAGACACAACCAAGTTTTTGCAAGTGAGTACAGGGTAAATATAAAGTTTCAGGAAAACCCACCAGGTACTTATGACACACACAACTAAGTATTTGGCAGACACTAATAGCAACACAATTCCGTACAGGTACTCAAGAGGAAGTGGAGACTCAACTAAAATGTGCTTGACTAATAAGAAAAGAAATCATGGAATTACACAGATATTAAGGCTGTGAAAGTAAATCCACCCATTCTGCTTTAACAAAGTGATTCAAAAAACTCCACAGCAATAAAAAGTATCACTTGGCCACGTTTATGGGAACCCAGTAACTTAAATATAAAAGGAAGTATCACAGTGAGAAATGAGAAAAGTGAGAAGCATAAAAGAGTACGTGTACAAGTCTGAGGATTAGAAAATACGCTAGTGAATACTAGGTAACTGCAGGTGCTCTTTGCAGTTACTTCTGCAGACATGACATATAATACAGGTGAATAAAACATATTTTACCTGAATAAAGGAAATATGTAAAAGAGAATAAATTCATGTGTGAAATAAAAATGTATTTCCAAAAATGCCTTGCTTCAGTTGACATATTTTAAACCTCATGTTAACGTTACATTTTCCTAATAATTGCAATATCTGAGTCAGTATGTTCCACATGGACGAAATTTTCACGCACTTGTCAGGTGCATCAGCAGTGTCTGACATGTTTCTGATTGATGAACTTGAGAAATTACAAGAGTAATAATTGTCTCAAAGGCAGGCAAATAACAAAACAGGACATGTTAAGTGAACAGCATCCCTTAAAACAGAGACGGTAGTACGATAAATCCATAGAAATTGCTTTCAATACTACTGTGGAGAGCAACAAAATTATCTACCTGTCAAACTTAAGAAGTTGGTGCTTCACAACCCACTAATAAGACCCAGCAAAATACTAGCTAAGATTATTTTAAAATAGTAACATAACAGAAGGGTTTGGGGTGCATCACTTTGGTCCTTATCCCCAAATCAGGCTGTATATTTGTAGCAGTAGTATAATGGCCTACACATCAAACACTCATCCTATTTAAATTGGCTTTTACGGAAGGGCTGAGGGTGGCAGGGCCCTCTGGAGCCCACCAGGCCCAGGCCCAGGCCCAGACCCTGCCCAAGCAGGGCCACCCAGAGCAGGCTGACCAGGGCCACCTTCAGGCAGCTTTTGAAGATCTCCAAGGAGGAGACTCCACGGCCTCTCAGGGCAGCCTGTGCCACTGCTCCGTCACCCACACAGAAAAGACGTGCTGCCTGGTGTTCAGGAAGAGGGAACCTATGTTCCAGTTTGTGCCCATTGCCTCTTGGCCTGGCACTGGGCACCACTGAGAAGAGCCTGGCTCTGCCCCCTCTGCACCCTCCCTTCAGGGTGCATACAGACATTGATGAGACATCTCCAGGCCTTCTTTTCTCCATGCTGAAGAGGCCCAGCTCTCTCAGCCTTTCCTCATAATTGAGATGCTCCAGTCCCTTCATCATCTTGGTGGCCCTGTGTAGGATTCTCGACATTACGTCCAAGTCTCTCTTGTACCGGGGAGCCCAGAACTCAGCACAGCACTTCAGACATAGTCTCACCACTGCCAAACAGATAAGAAGGATCAGCTCCCTCGACCTGCTGGCAATACTTTGCCTAATGCAATCCAGGCCACCACGAGCCTCCTTTGTGGCAAGGGCACACTGCTGGCTCTTGTTCAACTTGGTGTCCAAAGTTTGTATCTGGCAGAACTATGTATATGAATAAATGTGTTAAGTACAAAGATCTCATACCTTTTATATCTGCTTGAAACCATCCTGGAGGAGTCCTGAAAGAAACAGAAAGCAAAACATCATTATTAATATTTTTATTTTATTTGTATTTCCATAATACTTTACTACATCATAAAAAATGATTCCTGCAGTTAAGAGCAGGAGGTCCATGTTTCAAACAGCTACTGAACAACTCAGTTTTGCACCTTTCGGCTGTCAGGAATAGACAGAATACCAGGATTACTGCCATCAAGCTACTGTTTCTGAACACAAGCCCAGAACCCTTAATGACAATTTCTCATTTATTCTTAAAACGTGATGCACTCGCATGTTCACAACACGCAGTTTACTAAAACAGTATGCACCCTATCACAAATACGCCTTCGCTATGACTACTAATACCTGCGCATTTTGGTATCTGTTTATCAGCTATTTATTTTTTTCCAGAAGCAGAAGAGCAAAACTGCTCCAAATCTCCTGACAGCGCTGCTATCCTTCCAGACTGCTCAAAAATGGAATCTGGCAAGCAGTACAGGGTTGAGACACAAATACTGCATATCAGCTAGGCCATTGTACCTGTCCATGGGTAAGCCCTTCACCACTCTAGTGCAGGTATTGCAACCTGGCTCACCTCAGATTCAGTCAGGCTAACCCAAGTGGTGTTCTCCTGGCATTTGCTGGTAAGCAAGTAGGCTAGAAGACTGTATGTGGCTGTTTTGTGCACTCAAATATCAGGCAGTAACTTGTCAAGCTATGAGAAGTTAATTTTTAGATCATTGCTTTCTAAGTACCTGCAGAGGCTTAATGCATTCTGACTACGAACTCGAATACTCTGCCTCTCCTTTGAATGCTATTTGGAAAAGATCTTAACTGAAATAAAAACAAAACACATTTTAGACAAGAGTTCAACAGTGCAAGAACTCTGCATCTGGCCCTTCAAAGATACATACATGGGTTATTTGCAAATTTTAAGTATTTTCATTATTTTTCTAGTGCAAAGGCTTCCGTTACTTTTTAGATTCCCACAAGTGCAGTAACAACAATAATAAAATAACCCATTATGCTTTTATTCTTGCTCTGTAAAGACGGAAATGGAAATAAAAATGCAGTGGGAGAAAGTGCTCATTTATTCTTTCACACAATACCTAAAAAAAACAAACACTGATGCATTATGACAACTAAGAAAAAAACCCCGAAACAATACATTTGCATTGATAACACTATGCTCGTAGTTTCAATAACGGCCTGATCACACAGAAAAGTTAAGACTTGTTTCACTTGGATAAAAGATGGCTCAGATTAGACAGTAAATCCACAAACATTTTTTAGGATGTTGTAAGAACGTGAACCAATTATTTTATTAGTCATAGACAAAACTCCCCCCCCAGCATCAGCAAGTACTAGGTAAAAAGTCAGAAAAGAATATTTAAGGAGTTAATGAACTGAATAATTGCCTTTACTGGTTAAAAAAAAAAAGTAACGGCAAAGCATCAAATTCTGTCTATTTATGATACTAATTACACAGAAAGGAAGAAATGAGTTTTTAAAACAAGATGCAAAGAACGTTTCCACCCACTGAAAATCCTATGAATTACACTGGCTTCAATGATCAGTTTATTGATGTCTCTGTAAGTAACAATAAACTAGCTAAAATGAAGATAACAATAATTTATTTTATGATAGAAAATAAAGTGGTAAATAATTTGTATTACAGGAAAAAAAAAAAAACTTGATCTTAAGGTGCATTTTAATTTATGAAACATTTTCAACTTCTACAATATATGCTACACTCTTCCTACTATAAGTAGAAAAACAATATTGAACAAAGTTGTTTAAGTCATGAGAATTAAGTATTTAAAGAAACACACAGAGTAGTGCAAAATTGCTGTTTTAACACAGATGATTTATCTTTAACAGCATCTGAAAATTAGCAACTTACAGCTGTAAAACAGCAACCTCATTCCACCTCTAAAATGGCAAGGAAATAATTTTAAACCATACCAATGTTATTTTTAAAGTTTAGGAAAAGTACATTATCTTTAAAGGACATGGCAGTAGGGTGAGGTCTGTGAGGACTGGAAGAAAGCAAATGGCATTTTTATCTTCAAGGGCAGGAGGTAAGATCCAGGGAACTACAGGCCAGGCTGCCTCTCCTCTGTCCCTAGGAAGGCGATGAAACAAACCCATCTGTTCAGGAAAGAAGGTGATTTGAAGCACTCAGCATGGATATACAAAGCGGAAATAAAACTGACTGACCTGACAGTCTTCTATGATGAGATGACAAGGGAAAAGCTCTGCAGATAAGGGGAAAGCAGATGTTGTGTATCTTGATTTTTAGCAAGGCTTTCAACACCTTCCCCCATAGCAAACGTACAGGCAAATTGATGGAATATGGACAGTAAGGTGCACCGAAAAGTGACTGAACTGGGCTCAAGGGGTTGTGAAGAGCAGCAGCGTGACATCCAGCTGGACACCAGCCACAGGCAGCATGCCCCAGAATTGATGCAGGGCCAGAGCCATTCAACACCTTCAGTAATGTCCTGGGTGATGGGATGAAGTGCCTCCTCAGCACATTCACAGACTGCACTAAGATGGAGGGAGTGGTTAATTCATCAGATAGCTCTGCTGCCATGCAGAGGGACACTGGCAGGGTGGGGAAATGGAGGTACACAGACCTCATGAAGTTCAAAAAAGAGAAATGCAAAGTCCTGCACCTTGGGGAGGAATAATCCCAAGCATCAGTATGTGCTGTGGGACTGGTGGGCTTTGCAGAAGAGGACCCAGGGGTCCTGCTGGACACCAAGTAGCACACAAGCCAGCAGTCTGCCCAAAAAAGTCCAACAGGATCCTGAGCTGTACCAGGACGAGTGTTGCCATCAGGTCAATGGAGGTGATACTTTGCCCCTCCTCAGCCCTGAAGAGACCCCAGCAGGAATGCTGAGTCTGGTTCTGGGCTCCCCAGCACAACAAAGATGTAATGGAGTGAGTCTATCTCCATGAAGATTAGGGTTTGGAGCATCCAACATATGAGGAGAGGCTGAAAGTGAACATCCAGCTCAGAGAACAGGCCCAGGAGGAATCTTGTCCATGTGTATAAATAGCTAATGGGGTAAAGAAGAGAAGGTGGAGGCGGACTAAGTTGTGCCAGCAAAAGGACATAGCGAACACAAACTGAAATACAGAAAGCTCAAGCCTAAGAAAATCTCTTTCTACTGTCAGGTCAAGCACTGGAGCAGGATGTCTAGACAGGCTATGCAGTTTCTACCCGTGCAGATAATCAAAACCCAACTGGACACAGCCCCAAGCAATTTGCCCTAGCTGACACTGTTTTGTGCACAGGGGCTGGACTTACAGACCTCCTGACATCCCTTCCAGCCTTAGTGATTCTGTGCTCCTATAGCCCGTGCTACATCTCTATTGGTCTTTTAGCACAGATTGCAAGTGTTCTCTCAAAATCAGCCTCCTAACTGCCTCCTACTCCTGTGCTCCAGATCTTATCATGAAGCTTTCTCAGAATGTGCAAACTGGATTCCCTTTGGATGAAAGTAAAGCATGAAATGTGTTGTAAAAGTCTTCCAAACGCTCACAGGTATTCAGGCCACAAGGTCAGAAACACTGTCAGAGGAAAAATAAAAATCAAGCAGACTGAACACCTCAGCACTGGAAGTTTCACTGCAGATTTTCTTCTACAGTACTGCACTAACTTCCTACTGCAGGTGAAGTCTATGATCTTTTTACCCCTGTACTCAGTGAACCTTGTCACTCAACTTACTGGTCAAAAGATAACAAACGTATTCATAAAATTACCTTTTTTGCAGCTATGTTGTGGAAAAGTTCTTGTTAATAATTTAAAATGTCCTGCACCGCTCAATCAAGATGCTTAAAGCACTCCTCTAATATTGCCGCTAAAAATCGTCACCCCAGATTATGCTATACTTCCTCAAAGCAGTGACTCAGCCTTTTGGACCAAATGGGAACTAAGCTTCCTCAACTTTCATTTTTTAAACAGCTTCTTTTTAAGGAAAATGCTGAAGCCTCAACAGTATGGCTGTGCTCACATCAGGAAAAGCAAAAATTTTAAAAAGGGGAGAATTTGCAAAAAGGGGAGACACTGCAGTCCAGCAAAGCACATGTTTCCTTGTACAAAGAAATCCCTCGGCCTTGGTGCCTGTTCCCTACTCTAGACACCAAAAGGATGCAACGTATACATTTATAACCACAAATTTATGAGACTTTTTCATCCAGTAAGTGCAAATACAGGCTGGTAATCAATTTAAACACACAGACTTGCGCATGCACCTCCACAGAGGGCTTCTAGAAGTTTGCCTGTACTCTTCAGATATGCCAGTTATTCAGAAAGAGAAAGCTGGGAAAGCAAACAAATGCTCGGGAACAAAGTTCACAGCAAATATTCTCATTTGCTACAAACGACAGCTGGTAAAACTTTAAAAAAAAAAATCACAACAGAATACTAACTAGTCCTTTGTAACAGATGTTTCTATGGTAGGTTTTTTTGTTTTGTTTTTAGAAATACTATCAACAAAAAGTTAAAAATATACAGCAAATGATGTGTAAAAACAATTTCCTATCACCGATACTTTGATAACCAAGCTAATGTTGCAGACTTTGTAAATTGTGACTTGTTATTTTGGAATCTCCCGTGCAAATACAAACTGACCATTCTGTAAGGCGGCAATGCAAGCACCAGGGAAATCCATTTTTGGTCTCTGTTCTCACATTATGAAATTTATTTTTGTGTCTTATTTGCCCAAAGGTTGCTACAAAAACAAGTATATAAGTAGCTATATTAAAATCAACATATGTGTCTGTTAAAAAAAATTAGTTTAAGCTTTCAAACTATTTAAAAACTCATAAAATGACGCAAACATCTGTTACAACTTGTGACCTTCTCCAAAAATGGTGTAAGGAGCAAGAACAGGCTGGCAGGAAATAAGAGATGGGACAGGAAGAATATTTCTGTTCCACAAAAAAAATAAAAGCAGACCATTAGGCATGCATAAATATAGTAATTTGCAAATCTTGTTTTTGTTTTAAA